GTCATTCATGTCGTGTCGTTCATGTCATGCTGTGTCATGTTGTGTCGTTCATGTCATTCATGTCGTGTCATTCATGTCATGCCATTCCTGTCATGCCACGCCACACAGACTTTCACCCAACCCTGACGGGTGCCAGCAACGGAACTGGTCAGAAAACGCCGATTTTGGGGCCGCGAGTGCAAACCCTGAGGAACATCAACCTCATCCCACGGCGAGGGAAGAACCTCTGAGAGAGGAGAGGAGATGAAGATCAGAGAAATACCAGCACCCAAGGTGCAAGGAGGAGGAGGAAGAAGCAGCGGAGGAAGCAGCAGAGAAGGAAGAGGAGGCGATGGAGGACAAGGAGGATGGACAATAGGAACTGCAGCAGTAGGAGATAGAACAGTAGGAGCAATAGGAGCAGTAGGAGAAGGAGCAGTAGTAGCAGTAGGAGAAGGAGCAGTAGGAGTAGTAGAAGAAGGAGTAGTAGAAGCAGAAGGAGGAGCAGGAGGAAGACGATGAGGAGGAGGAAGAAGAAGAAGAGGAGAAGGTGATGGTGGAGGAGGAGGAGGAAGAGGAGGAGGAGGAGGAGGAGGAGGAGGAGGCGGTGGAGGATGGGGAGTAGGATGGGGAGTAGGATGGGGAGGAGGATGGGGAGGAGGAAGATGTTGAACTGTAATGAGTAAATAATTGTCAATTCATAAATGGATCAATGGATCAATTGTAAACCGACAAATAAATTGTCTGAACCGCTCAAGTCAGAAGCTTTCCTTGTTGTGTTAATATTTGTTCTCCGTGGATAAAATTCTCCACTCACTGCGTGTCCCCATCAGGGATTCCCCAAGTTCCCCTTTAAAACCCACGGGGCTGTTTTGAGGTTCGAGGGACAAATCCCGCGGAGGTCACGGAATTCACATTCCACGTTGATTGGGGGATCCTGTTCTCATTTTCATTGGGGGAGCAGCTGAATATTTTCGTTTTCAGGGGATATTTCCCGTCCCAGACTCCACCGGCACAGTTTGGTCTCGGCCCCACACTCGTGGGATGCACTCGGAGCAGATGGGGTTGGGCTGAGCCTCCCTAAGCCCGGATGAAATAAAAGGAAACAGTTTGTACCGTGTCGTTTGAAGGTTATTCTGCCACAGGGATGAGTGGCTGGATAAACCATCCCTGGGCATTCATTTGCTCATTATATCTCAGTAATAAATATGAATAAATATAGTATAATAATATATTATAAATCTAAAACAAATGGTCTATAATTATATATAATTATTATATATTTATATTTAATATCTAATATATATTTATATTTATTATATGTAATTATATATAAATGGATATAATAGAATATAATTGATATAATATGAATATAAGTATATTTATAGTATATACAATTTATATGTAATACATTGTATATAATATAAATATAAATATATAAATATATGCATACTATAAATATAAGTATAAATATAAGTATAAATATAATATATAAATATATAATATATAAATATATAATATAAAAATACATAATATATAAAGAAATATAAATATAAATATAAATATAAATATATAATATATAGTATATAGTATATAATATAAATATAAATATAAATATAAATATAAATATAAATAAAATATAATATAAATATAAATATAAATATAAATACAAATATGCACTTATTCCATGCCAGCTGAACATTCCCAGCCCTGACCAAAGCAACGCTCCATGAAAGCACTAAATAGTTGGATAAATCATTCATGGGCATTCATTTGCTAATTATATCCCCATAATGAATATAAATATTATATAATATAAATATTTTTGTGTTTATATTATATAAAATTAATATAGTGTGTCTTATATATAAAATAAATATAAATAATATCAATGTAAATGTAAATATAAACAAATATAAATATAAATATATAAAAATATAAAGATAAAAAGATATAAAAATATAAATATAAATATAAATATAAATATAAGAGATGCACTTATTCCAAGCCAGGTGAACATTCCCAGCCCTGATCAAAGCAGTGCTCCAAAAAATTCAGATATTTCCTGCTCCCCCCATCCCAAACTGGGGGAATCTCCTCCGTGCTTCCCGTGTCCAACACAAGGAACCCAAAATCCCGGTGGCTCCTCCCGTCACCAGCGTCGTCAGTGACAATTAAAACCCCATCCCGGCCCTAATTAGAGCCAATAAATTGGGATTCCCGGGAATCTCGTAAACCCCGCCCTGATTCCATGTCCTCCCCTGTCCCAGTGCCAAGAACCGGCACCACCCGCTCCCTGATCCCGGCTTTGGGAGGAATATCTCGGACCTCCAACCCCCCCGGGCTCCACACTCCTGTCAGGGGGTTGTAGGGATGGAAAAGGTCCCCCCCGAGCCCCCTTTTCTCCGGGATGAGCCCCCCCAGCTCCCTCGGGAGTTCTCCCACCCCTTCCCA